GTATGCATTTATGTTTGAGGTGGTGTTTGCGTGTGCGAGTCCATGTGTGATTTTGCTCTTAGGAGTAACATTTTTAAATCGTCAGTCCTCAGATCCACTATAGCCAACCTTTTTTGAATATCCACAAGTCAGTTCAATATATGACCACAGGTGTCTTCCAAGATGCTTAATTGCCTTTACTGTAGCTGTGCACTCTCTTCGATGTTGCTTATATAGCCCCATCACCTTTTGTGAGGTGGCTACTAGACATTTAGTGATTGCCATGGCTGTAGTCAGCCTGGTTGAATTATAGTTGGCATTTATTTTGTTAATTCCAGGTGTCTGGCATTGATTGTACCTACCTGGGTGGAGTGTGATTCTGCTGTATTGTGGGACAGGCCAATGAGGGACACTGTGAGTGCATGTACAGTACAGTAGCCAATCACAGGGTTTCTCTCAATCAGCGGTGCATGCTGGGATAGGGTACATACACTGGAGGGAATTGCTATGTGCTCAGTCTAGTTTGGGACCAGTCATGGATTAGTAGCCTACCCCCCAGTGCAGGAAGAGTTTCACTAGGCCAGGATGGAGGAGGCCTGTGCTGTTGCCATAGGAGGAGAACCAGGGAAGATGATGGCTACTGGAGGTGCCTGAAATATAGAGGACCTCAGGAGCAAGTCTGGTGTCTCTCCTGCTGAGGATCTGAGGATCTGTACTCATTCCCTTCTCATCTGCTACTCAAATTCTTATTCAATTAGCTACAAATGGATCTACACTGAGATGCTAAAGAGGTCTGGTGAGTCTGGAGTCCATGTCTGTTATACCCTGGATATCTAGGATCCCTATACCCTCTCTCCCCAGTATGAAGATGTTAATAAACTTGGGGCAGCTGAAGACCAAATCCCCTAGACAACTAGTGATGACCCAGGTTATTCATGTGGCTCCTTTGGGGGTGAGCACTACACCAACTATATCAATCCACATCAACACCCCCCTAAAAGCAAGACTAGCTAATAATATTCCTGACAAAACGTCTAATACACAACCTACCCAAAGTAACAGCTTATATACAGGTTTTAAATGTTGTGAAGATCATTATACCATAAACTGTCCTTTAGATGTTACAATGCTGAAGATAGAAAATTGAGATGGTATTTGAAGACAGTAAGAATTATCATTCTTACTGTCTTCCTCCCACCATTGTGCCGCCATCAGGAAGATAATCTTTTAGATGTAAGCTTACTGCTCAAGGACCTCACAGTGACTTTTTCTCAGAAGAATCAATGAGTGATGTGTTATTTTTGTTTGCATCTCTCCTGTGAGACACTCACAAATCAGTCCAGTCATCAACTAGCATTATTGAGCAATATTCCTAGATTCATCAGACCTGGCTTCTTCAATGAACAGCTAATTTACACTTCAAGCAATGTCTATTCACATGCTCCTCTTCTGATACTATGCAAAATGGACAAATGACAGAGAAATATTGTTGACCTAGAGCCCAATGTTAAATTATTGCAAAAAGAGTTTATCACATAAAATCCTCCCCCATGGTTTATTACTTTTGACTTCTTCAGAGAAGGAAGAAGGGCATTTTTCATTTTCTTTGTAATACAAATTGATTTTATTCAGTCCACCCCTTGTTCATGATCCTTAATATCATGGTGAAGTCACAGGAAGTGGGCTTGAACATCTGTGCTAGTCTCTGAAGATCTGTAATGTGATTTGGTGATGTCACTACAGTGCTGCACACTGTTCTCCTTGCTGGAGGCTCTGACATGAGGGAGCAAAACCCTGTCTCTTCCAAATCAGCTGCTTCCACAAAGAGACACAGTGCAGAAAAAGCTATGCTATGTAATTAATAAATTAAGTAAGTAATGGGGAAAGAGCAGCTGCAAGGAGACCAAGCGGCAATACTGGTGACTAGTTCTTTGTCCGTTGCATGCCTTTTTTGGGCACAACTTCCAGAGTTCAGTCCCTCAATAAAGGGGACAGTCCACCCTATAGGTACAATTAGTTTTCTGTGGCTAATGCTCAGTAGTAAGTATGCCTTACACATCACCTAAATGTTGTTCTTGAATATAGGATGCTGCCATTGTCCATAACAAGTTGCCCATTAGTCAGGTAAATATTATTTCCTTAAAGGGAACCTGTATTGGTTGTCAAACTGATTCAAGTTCTCTAACAATTAATTGTTGCCATTTGGCTCGTTTTTCGCTGGCTTAACAAGTTGCAGGTCTTTTATTTATTTTTTTGTTTTTATGTAGTTTTCTTTTTTGTATATTGAATGTTTGATTTTTCTTTACCAATATCGTTATTGATTTATTGTATATTAACTAGTCTTCTAGGATTGAAGTCCTTCTGAGGAAGCCATTTTTCGGCGAAACATGTTGAGGCACCTAGAGAACAATATCAATCTCCCTGTGATCAACCAGACCACTCCAACAATTACTGTTTTGTATTTGGACTATGCACAATATCAATGTATTAATTTTGTGTTTACTTTAATACAATCATGGTTTTAATTCATTGCAATAAATATATTTTTAATTTTTATTAAGTTCATTGTGAGAGCAACATTTTTTCTTAAAAGCCCCACTTTTCCGGGCCTTGCATACCTGGTAATGGTTTTAATAATCATATGATCTTGGTTATATATTAAGTTACTGGGGTGTGAAACGTTGCTCTCATTCTATCTAATGTGCTCCAACAATTGTAAACCTCTAACAATTACTTTCTGCAAATAGCTCAGAAAATTGTCCTGCCAAAGGTAATTAGGTATGTAGCATTTTTATAAAGGCATCCACAATGTCATTCTGCACATTTCTCTAAATACAAGATTATTATCCACCTCCCTACCAGCCATTGGACAAAAACACTCGGTAAGGGGAGCTGTTGTTTTCTGAGTGGACATACCTGTATGTCTTTTTTAATTACTTTGGTCATTAGACAGTGGGGAATATAGACAAAATCGGCAAAAGACACAGAGCTGATTGGAGCAGCTCTGTGTCATTGGATCACTGTCATGGCCAACCACAGTGTTCACAAATGTAAACAGTGGCATTGTTCATATTAGAGAGCCCACCCCTTAGTCTTACAATGGAGGAAGGGACCAATGAGGATTCAGTAGAATAATCTATCAATTAAATCATCCAGGCTGCAGCAGAGGAAGGAGTGATGTGGGAATGGGGGTTTAAAAATCCACTGACCACTAATGTTGTGGGATTATTTTGGGGGTAGGGTAATTTAAAGTGTCAGTGACCACTAAAAATGGGGTTTGGGTGGGTTGTTATTTTAATCCCACTAACCAATAATGATTGTGGGACTTTTTTTGGAGGGGGGTGTTAAAATGACATTGACATCCAATGTCATGGGATTGCCTACTGGGGTTGTAAAATGCCTCTGACCACCAATGATTGTGGGATTGTTTTGGGAGGTGGGGGAGTTTATCTATGACATCTAGCTATGGTACGCAATGCAGTTTCATCCTCCAGGAAGCTAAGTGCACATTAATTACCTCAATACTGGAACATTAAAAAAAGTGGGGCAAAAAATAAGATTAGACCTTGGGGTATCCACTTTCCAAAAAGTGTTTTTAAAGTCATGGCATTTTTATTTGATATGCTTACATCAGAAAACAAGGGAAACAAGTTTTTTCATAACCCTTTATATAGTAAAAAAAACCAAAAAAAACCCAGTGGTTATTAAATACTGCCAAAAAAGCTCTATCTAAAATGATATAAAATGATATAATGTGGGTACAGTATTGCATGACCGAGTAATTGTCAATCAAACTATCAGAGACCTGAAAAATGGCCTGGTAATTAGGGGGGGATTGGGTAGCATGCTGGTTTTGAGGTAGTTTAAGCATTAAAGGTATGCAGCAAAGGTATTATTCTCTAGGGATGAGCGAATACGCCAAGGTTCATTTTATGTAAACCTCGGGAAAGTTAAAAAAATGGACCTCCATTTAAAAAAAATATTTTTACTTTTCTTACTTCTGCTACAGTGAAGTCCCTATTTTATGGATGTGTGGCCCCAGCTGCTCACAAACAAGCACTCAGGTACAAGAATTCAGCTTGCCTAACCATGCATGCTCAGTCCACTTTCTCACATGCAGTATGTGGAGCTCAGTTCCTGCTGTGAGAGAAAGTGCACGGTGTGTGTGTGTTTAGGTAAGTCTCTTAGCCAAGTGCTTGTTCATGAAGGGCTTGGGCTACACATCCAATGGTCAGTCCATCATGCTAGGTAGACAGGATGAAAAGGGGGAACCCACAGCAGCAGCAAGAAAAGTAGAATAATTTTAAAAACAGATGCTAATATTTTAACTTACAATGTGAGCTGTAATGTATATGGCATTTTTTAAAAATCATTAGCAGCAAATTAAGCCTTTAATGTTTGTGAGATCTTGTGAACTAAACAAAACCAAAACATTTTAACTTGATGAAGTTTTATAAGCTATTTGTAATAAAGAAATAAAAATTTCTATAAAATGTGATTTGTGGATTTTGCCACTGTAGCACCTGGAAAAATGTTTAATTATAATGTACTTTTCCATTCAAATTCGAAGAAGGATGTGGGGCATTGGTCCAAATAACTAATTAATTGTATAATTAATTGCAACAGTCTGTTATTTTTATGGTTTTGTCTCCTTTTAAATTTAGAGCTAGGATTTGTTCTTAGGGTCGTTAATTGTACATGTTCAGATGTTACAATATATCCAAAAGAAAATTAAAATATTGTCTTAACAAACTGAAATATGTCTTACAAGAAAACAAAAACACTGTTCTAATTCATCCATCAGCAAACTTGCATCATCTTTGTGTGATATCATTGCATATTAATATTACAAGCATAAGTGTGTGTATTTCTTTGAATTGTGTTTTTTTTAAACAAAATTATATATTGTAATTGATTATAAAATTGTAATTTAATTTAACTGTGCTTGGTCATAGACAGAATGTTTCCATGGTAACTCATGTTCCAATCATTTAAAAGGAGAGCAGAACAGAAGGCACGATCAGCTGGGCCAGCAACAATACTCACACGAGGCTCCCACACAGTCCTGCACTATTTGTAAGTACAATGTCTTTGATCAAACTTACATCTTCTTTTTCTTTCTACCTGCAGTTTAAAAAATATTAAGACATTATTTTTTCTAACTGTGTTGGAGAAAAAAATAATTTTTTACATCAGCTAATTATCTGGTTTCATGTGGTATGGTGCTATGAGAACTGTTGTCAATAAATATTTAAAACTCTAAAACTTTTATACTGTGTTTACAACAGCAAGGCAAACATGTAATGAACTGGTAAACATTGTAAGACATTTGATTGCATTTATTACATCTGGGTGAAATGACAATTTACCATTGTGAAACTTATATTGACACAGTTAACCATCTTCTCAGTAGGGATACATATGTCATTATGATATCAGGTTGGGTAGCATTAAATTGCAAATTTTAACGGTGAGCTTATCAAAATGTAAAAGTGACATTTAACCCAAGATTTAAATCTTAAAAATGCATTCAAGTACCTTAACTAATAACAAAATCTAGCTTAATTCGTGTATCACTTATCTGTAGATCCTCAAATCATCTCTCTGCATTTGTGCTGATAATGTATTTCCTTCTGAGGGTGGCTACCTGTGTTTCCTTTGGACACACAGGGACCCTGTGTGTTTTGCAAGCACCGAAAAAGCTCCAAGCACGCGTCCATGACGGACTACAATCTTACGCTTAGTTTACTAATTTGTATTGAAATGATAGTCTACCATTGGAGCGAGCTTGGAGTGGTGGCTACTGTACAACACACACAGGAACCATGGAGAACAAAAGTAGCCACCCTCCAGAAGGAAGGACAGTGTCAGCACCAATTCAGAGATTATTTGAGGATTTACAGCTGAGTGATACACAAATGAGCTACATTATTGTTAATAATTAGGGTACTTAAATTTTTATATTTACCTCCTGAGTTTAGTGTTACTTTAAGCCCCCTAGCAGAAAATTTCCAACATACTGGTAATACAGTGTAATTGATTATGGACTTTTAGTTCTTATTATGGAACAGCCCATCCACTCTGCTCTAGCCAAGGTTAAACACAAAACAAACAATGAAGGGGATTTGAAAGTGTTACAGCTGTGATGATGGGCAGCTCTCTCACTTCCCATTTTGATCAATATCAGGAATTAATCATTTAATTGAGCAGTGTATCACTCAGCTATAGAGGTAGTGTTATCTTGATTATGGTACACAACAGTAATTTAAGCTGGCAGCAGAAGCTATAGTGAGAAAATAATGTATTTTGTTTTTTCCATAATTTATTAGCATAAGTTCCTCTTTTTAAACAACAATATTAGAGCTATGGAACAAATTGGGTTGTAAATGGACATATACAAAAAAATCTTCTGAATAGCCCAGAATAATAAGTGCAAGTTCATTGATCTGTATTGTCCCGGGTACATAGACAAATTATAAATAAAACATTTTATTCTAAATGTAGTGATTTTTTTAAGCATGCAGCCTTCTCAGGATATTATCTGTTCTATAATGTTGACATCCGGCCAACAGATTCAAATAAATTATTCATAGATATTACAAGCCCATATCCACAGTATGATTTGGACATGATGTTGTGAAATATTTTTAAATTTCTGATATAATTATTTTGAAATGACCAAGGGAGATATTTATATATCACTGTACTAAACAATGCACATGTGTACGTTTATGAAACTGTAATAAATGCTTGCTCTTCAAAATACAGTCACTATAGTTTCATAAAGAATAAAGCAACATGCACAAGTTTAGCTTTCTGGTACCCATTGCCCAACTTAAACTGAAGAAATAAAATATGAATCTCTCCAATGAACTCTGCAGGAACTCCACTGTGCTCAGTGTCAGGTGGAGTCATTTTTTTTCAAAAATGGAGTAGCTATGGTACCATAATCAACTTACATTTTCTGAACTGAACATCTTAAACACATAACAGGCTAAATTTATCATTTGTATTGCAAATACATGTTTGTGAATATTTAACTCTTACTGAAGCTTTTCTTTTTACAGTGAAAAAAAAAATCAATTATGTCAACAGAATTTGTGCCGCCAATAGATATCTCAGAAGACATCTTGGATAAACGAGAACAGCATTGTAAGCTTTTAGGTAAATACCATTATTGGAGTTTATGTCTTATAATTCATTAGATATGATGATGAGTCATCCAGAGTCACTCTCAAGCACAATGGATAATGACTGACCCTGCTGAAATGTAGAAAGCTGATATCACAAGCCTTCTGGTAACAGACATCCTGCCAGATGGGAAGGGAAAGTGTATTATTTCTCCTCCTGGGGTCACAAATTGAATGAATGGGATTGTTAACTCTTTGCTGTGGTAATTGATTATTACATGCTACAGGGGGGTTATATACTAAAGTGTGGAGTGAGGTTAAATTGTGTTCTCCTCAATAAAGTATTGCACTACGTTAGCTATTGATAGCAGCAGGAAAGTAAAAATATAGGTTATACTATGCCGTGCAAGCTTTCCAGAATCCATAGATCGAGACATGACACCATGCCCAACAAAGAGCACTATGTTCACTTTAAGGCTGAATCTGTTTCTATTTAGTTTTAGTTTTTTGTAGCCAAATTCTAATAACATTTACTTTATATTTATTCCTATTCACAAACAATAGTTTATTATCACAACAGGTTTTATCAGAAGTTTTGTCATTAAGAACAGTTAAGAGATGTTTTGTCATCAATTATATATATACACATTAGAATAATATATTATAAAATATCACTATAAAATATCAACTAAAAGAACATACTTAAAGTAGTATTAAACTCTCAAACTTTTTTTCAATAATGAATCCAGACCGAACAAACAAATGTACATTGCCCAACAAAATATTTCTTTAGATTTTGCCCAGGCACTTACAGTTATCATGTTTCCAAACAGCTGGCTCCAACTTTCTCAGCTCCACTTTCTGAACCTCCTGCCTAGTACAAGATCACAAGGGACAGCCCAGTCTCCAGCAATTGCCCATCTACTAGCTTGGAGAAAGAGGGAGGAGATAGGTGTGTGGAGCAGAGAGCAGGGGAGCAGTTTGCTTTTCTGTACCTCTATGTTTGTTGAAACCAATGGCAAATGCACTGATCAATTCATAACTAGCTTTTAAAGTAAGGTGCACATGTGCCTCTATCTTGGAGCATATATAGCAACTGATGAATTGGGTGCAGGTTCGCCAGTAGGCAGCCCATTCCTCTTTTAAGGCACTTAAAATGCTCCAAGATGGAGGCTCTCATAGATTAGAGTTAGGACCATAGTACACAGAGGGGCCTTGATGAGGCAGTGTGGCTTCCACATATTTTGCAAAAGTTGTGCAACTAAAACCTCTGTTTCTAGAGACACACACAGTTTACCAGCACACACACGGGTGGCTCCATATGACTCTGCAAGGGAAATGAGTCACCCTAAAACAGGATATCAGGGCCAGTGCTCAGGGGGCAAGCTGATTTTGCAGAAAATTACATTTTAAACATCAAGGAGAAGCATTCATTGTAAGTGATTTATTCAGCATTTGAAATGGCTTAAAAACATTTTAACTTTAATACAACTTTTTTGTGCACGTTTGTGCATTGTATTGTTATTGCTTACAGAAAACCTTTCTGAACAACTGATGAGGAACTGTGATCTCCAAATGAAAGCAAGGAGTGGAAATAACAATCAAGTTTCAACAGTGGAAATGGACCAAAAACAGCCTAGGAGAAAAGATACACCAGCCTTCCACAAGCCCCCATTTGTACCAGGTAAGCTCAACAATTCCAACAGGTCCTATTTATTTACAATGGCAAGGATTCTAGTCACAAACTCAATGACATAAGAATCACAAATCTCAATGATTTAATCCAACCTTATACCAAAACTCAGTGCAAGGTCCTCTGGCACCCATGGGGAAGATGCCAAAGTGCATCCCAACCCGACAAAACGTGCTAGCCATAATGGCCTCTTTATTGTGTGGCATGTCTTTAACAAGGGGAGTGTCTGGTATGCTGCACAGTAACAAAATGCTGGTGGTGACAGAAACAAAATGCTTTTGCAATCTTTTTTTATACATTCCCAGCATATAGTGGCACTGAGGGGTCTTAACACCTGTGCTTTTTACTGGAGCAATAGTTACAGTGTTCTGACAGTTTTTGCAGTATACTTAAATTACCATGAAAAAGTATTTTTTGTCTGAGGGCATTAGTCCATGTTGGACTGCTATGTTTTGATTGGTTTTCTGATTGTTTTCTTATTATTTATGTCTTGTTGTTCCTGGAATTTTTGATGCAGGATCTCCCTTTTTTCCCTTCATTCATTTTCTGTTTCCCTTATTTTCCTCCTTTTTGGGGAATTTTTCCTCTATTTTTTTGCAGAATTTTTAATTTTCTTACGAAGTGGTGGAGAACTCCCTTAACATTGTTATTTTGGCAGAAGATGGTGGCATGCTCTTTAATTGCTTTTTGAGTTGGTTAAAAAGTTGTTGTTTTTTGTTTTGTTTGCCTCTTAATTATTGTATAATTTGGCTTTTCTGTTTCACTGTTTTTTATTTTTTGAGAAGCACCGCTTTAAGATCACTCTGCATAGCATTGATCTTCCTTTGATGATTCATCTTTGCTTTACATCCCTTCCAGTTCCTGTTCTTTCCGCTACATTCTGCCTTTTCCACATCATTTCTGCTTTCACACTGAGATCACTTCCAGTCTCTTAGAAGCATGCTCAGTAATGGCATTTATGGAGTCCAAACCGCTTTCCATCTAAACTGCAGCATGTAGTTTACACAACTTGATGTTTGAGAACTGCTTTTTCTCTCAGATGGCTGGCTAGCTCATTATCTAGGCTTTTTTTGTATAGTGAGTGTGACCTGTATTTTGGAGTACCGTAAACACGCTGAATATACTGTATGTTTGTTAATGCAATGAAGGATGACTGCACAAGGAAATCTCTAGGGTCAAAGGTAGGCTGTAGTTTTGTTTAGGTTGGGTGTATTTATCTGTGCTGAGATTCCATATTGTCTGTCACCTTGAAAATGGAGGTGACAGTGTCTTTGAAAAATTGGTAGTTTTATTTTTGTTTTTTGTTTCTGCACAATGTTGTTATTGCAACTTAGACCTTAGTAAATTACAAGGTCTGTAATTTTAGCTGTGCTACCCAGTTGTTCTTTTGGATTTTCGCAATATCACTGTAAGTCGGGCACCCTCCTATTGTCTTTAAAGGCACAGATGCGATATGGGTTTGTGTCACGTTTCTGTTGATCGAGATGACTTCCCTCACCTTTTCAGCCAAGGCTCTGAAGAGTTTTATACTCTCATAACATAGCTTACAGTAAGACCTGATTCACACATCTTTGTTTTCCCCTGATGCATTTTCTATTGAAATTGATGGAAGTGCATCTAAACACATGCTAATGCATGTTGATGTATGTCAGTGCACACTGTTACATATTCTCAATGCATGTTGCATTGCCCTTTGTATTAAGGACCCATTTACATCATTATGGTAATGGACGTGTTACCACAACTCCCATTTTGATGTAGTGCCAATCATTTTGAATAACCCATAGCCCAACACACCTCAGCAATTGACATGTGTTGCACTGCGGCACAGCATGTGCCACTACACTAACATTATTTGCAGCGCACTGCTAAAAATGCTACATGCCTTTTTAGGTGCATTAATGTTGTGTAAGTTAACATGCAGCAGAACACATGTTAACTCCTGTGAGCTAACACAGTGCAACAGTATGACTGGTGCCTAAAAATCAACATGCATGATCATTCGTGTTGATGTGGGTCATGATACATGTACTGGTGTCATGGCACGTTGGTGAACATCTTAAAACCTGCATTGTAATACATTTTGATGCATTTCCATGAAAATTTTAATGGAAAATGCATTAAGCAAAAACACAAAGGTGTCACTCAAGCATGTAGAAACAACATTGCGAAGAAAAAAATCCAGGGACAATGATTTAGACACAGATATTTTAGATGCCAGTGCCATTTAAGGGTGAAATGCTCACATTATTGTTGTGACAATAGGCAGCCTAACGTTTGTGGAACTACAAGCTCCAGTATGTTGAGGTTTGTAAATCCTCAATAACTGTACAACAGAGGCTGTAAAAACGAATCATATGTGGTTAGCTCCATATCCTTGGCTATGTTTACTGACCTGAACCTTCACACTCTTTCCTCTTCATCTAACATTATTTGTCCTCCCCCACACTATAACTTTTCTCTCAGCTGCATGTGCAGACCTTACACTGAACAAAAGAGATGAGAGAATATTTTGTATCTTCGTTGCTCTCCCATTCATCTTCCATAATGTTCAGTAGACATTGCAGCTAACAGCGAGATCAGTTTGTGGCATCATGGTGGTCTTGTGCTATAGTCTGTCTCTCCCACAGCCAGGCAAAAGAGAGTCAGGGACCATGGATAGAAGAAAGCCCTGATATGTTACAATCAGCAGTCATGTAGTCATCTCACCTGCTTACTATCCTAAGTGCCCATGTGTTTCATCAGCAAATATATTTTTAAATTTCCGTAGCAGGCTGAGGTGTGGTGGAGGCAGTAATCAGCCACAAAACACCTATCATTTAAAAGACAGAGAGTGACCAAGCAAACTGGGACTAAATTTTGAAGCAGGGGGCAGGCAAGCTGCAACTTTGGGTTGCAAAGCTTTAGAGTGATATGTGAGAAATGTAATGAACCTTAATGGACTGGTATTTTTCTTTTACTGGCTTCTCCTGGCTTAGGTTTCTACTGACCCTTTATATGCTAGGTTGTAACTTCATGAGATACAGTGGATGGAGAGCTACGCCTCTACCACACATTGTCCAAGGCACCCTGTGTTGGCCCATCCCTGCCAAAACCTCTCTGATTACTTTGCAACATATCATTATATTTACACATCACCTATAATGCAGTGCTGCACTTTAAATAATGCAACAATATGAGTGGAAAAGTACTTGATTTGTTTGATTATGATGAATTATGTTGTATCTTTAATTTATATTTAAAGACATTCATGTCAGGGATAGGATTCCCCAATTTTCTTTTATCTATGTGTGTGCCTCTATGTAGGGAATGAGTGTGACTATTGTGCCAAGGCTTTGGGGACAGTAAAGCAAGGGCAGTGTAATTTGGCAAGAATATGTCAGAATAAATAAGGTAAGAGAGAATGGAGCTGAAGAAAGCAAAGGAGTCTGAGGAGACTATGGCTTGCTGTGTCGCAATCTCAATGGGTGAGAGGAGGTATGAGGGAAAATGGGATAGAAATGTTAAAGGTTAGAAGGTTGCGGTTGAAGAACAGGAAAATTGAGTTCTTGAGCCCATTAATGTCACATAATTTAGAGCAGATGTGGTCAAGGTGATCTTTATCAAAGTATGTAAAGGTGCCCAGACACCTATCAATTTTCATTCGGAAATCATCCATGGTCTTTTGAACGATAATCGATCAGTTGCTGGGAACCCAACAATTTTTTATTGCTGTACTCCTGGCCGATTTTTTCTCAAAGGGTGAGGCTGGAAAACTTGTTACGAATTGAACGAAAGTCGATGAATTAGTGTTTTTTTCAAAAAATTGCAACAAAAACACTGCACATGCACAAAAGGATATCCGTTCTATCGATCAACGAAATTCGGTGAGTTAGTATTGCTAACGAACGATTATTGGAATTGACATTGGTCTATGCATAATGGGCTATTTGACCTAGAATTGAAAGAGGGTTCTTGGCAGCAACGAAAATGATCGATCGAAAATCTATAGGTGTATGGCCAGCTAGGTTGTGCATGTCTTATGACTAAAGATGAGTTGAGTGATTTTGTTAAAATTAATTTAGCTGTGGAATTACGTCCATCGGTGATTTTTGTTTTGAGGGGGGCTGTATAAAGGGTAATTTAGCTTATCATTAGTGTTGTATGTAATAATTTTTTTCTTTTTTGTGTATGTGATTGTTATTTGTGTACTATTGCTTACATTTTTTATATCTTGTTGTCTGTTTTCTATTTTTGGTGGAAAAAAAACCTTAAAAGGAGGCTCATGAGGGTAATTTTTGAAACAAAAACAGGTCCTGGATAGTTAAAAGAAACTTCTGTAAACTTAAAGAGTGTTTTAAAGCCATTTGCACCCTTACATGCCACCTTAATGTTGTCTTCTCTAATGAATCATACGCATTTTGTAAAACAAGCATTAAACTGTTAAATTTTTACCTAAATTTTAGGGGAAATGAAAACTGGTAATTTTGTTCACTTTGCTGGGTTCATCAGTGATAGGGATGTTCAGGTACCAGTTTAGATACCAGTGCCGATACTTGGCATTTTCAAGAGCACTACCAGGGTTGCAGTGGTTGCAGCTTCGACTGTGCCTGGGCACGCCACCACTGTCCTGAAATCATTAGTCTGTATTGTTTCAGAAAAACATGATACTAAACAAAAGTGTATCAGTAATTGGTATCTGCCGTACTTGGTATCTGAACCTCCCTAGTGATAATGTTAAAGTCATTTTATTAGGCCACAGGAAAGTATCTAGAGGGAAGCCATGAAATGCAGCTGCTAAGGAATTGTTTAAAAAAAAAACAGCAACTATGACAGGAAGGAGGCCCAAAAGGTGAATTGCAGGCACTTCAGAGAAGGGCAAATAGATATGATACAAGTCTAACTAACTCACTGAAAACAATGCACTCCCTATGTGACTGATCTCATCTGAGCAGAGTATTCTGACTCCAACCATTGTGTTAGTGATTTATTCCTTGCTGAGATCTCTATTCCTGACCTGTATAAGCAGATACAATCACCACAGATAGTCTTTATCAGATAGCTGAACTCTCCAAATACCTTTTTTTATCCACGAAGATCTTTATTGTATGCAGGTTACAGCAGACAACTGGATGTAGCAGATGATAGAAATGACGGTATTTGCATATCAAAGATGGTAATATTTTCCTCAATGCAAGCATAAGATGTGACCATGAGACGAGCAGCCATTTTGATGAGAAACTTATAATGATGAAGAAAGGGAAATACATCATAAAATGGGAGGGAACCCCCTCTATTGCTATAACCAAAATGACCATAAGATGACAGTATATTATCAGCTATACTGATAATATGCAAGTAATGCTGGTAATAGCTTAAGGAAATTAACTATATAAATTCTCAATAATATGAGTATTAACCATGACTATGCATTGCATCATATTTTCATACAATTGTTGTAACAGCACACAGAGTTATTGTACTGAGCCACTACGAGCTTCCTGTAGCTGTTAATTAATAAATCACTACTTGTATTGCAATTACAAAAATAGGAGCTTGTAAAATATAGAAGTCAGATAAAAAGATACTTTAAGGTAAAAACTGTAAGAACAACTGGAAATATGTGCTCACTGAAGATATGCTTTTCTTTTCCATTTAAACAGGATAACAGGAGCATAGTAACACAGTAGGTGAGGTTGAATAAAGGCAAAAATCCATCCAGTTCAACCTGTGGTTTTCTGTGTATGTGCCTGTGTGTCTGTATCTGTATGGCTCTACCTTCTCATATCCTTGTATATGTTGCATCCGCACATCTCCAGAATCTGTGGTTCCAATAACATCTGTCATTCAAAACCATTTAAAATCCTTTTATTTAATGGGCTAAAACAACGTCACACACAAAATCATAACATTTCCACTAAAGAACATACAGTATTATTCGTTATGGCATGGTTCTGCTTCCTTGCATCCCCTAGGTCTTTATTTAGACCCTAACCATGAAAGTATGTTTCCTAACCATTTCCTCGATTAATTCAGATCTATGTAACTCCTTTCTGAGACTCACTTTTGGAAGATTAGTGGGTGTTCCTAGTATCCTAAGACTATAAAGTACAGTATATCTAAAGGCTCCATATGGCAGTCTAAACAAGTTCCAAATCCAGTTACTCATGAAGCAAACAAAAATATCCTTTACCTTTCTTGACTGAGCCAAATCATCATTTATTTGTGCCGCAAATGCTTCCCCTTCCAGACACTGCAGCCTAAAATGGTAGGGTTTTTCAGCAACAGTGGCAGTGTTGTTAATTAGTAAAGCAGTGGGCAGGACTAGTTATGACGAGGTGCTGATTAAATACAGGCATTCAATTCAGCAGTGACAATGCTGAATTTACATCTTCTCATCCCACTCCAGTGCAAGCAGGCAAAGCCTACATTAGAGTGGCAACATTGCTTTGAATTCAGGAGCAGTGCAGCTGTGTTGCCACCCCATCACAGGAAACTTCATTAGAGGAACTTAACTGGCAGGTATTTGTGGGACTATATATACTGAATATTTAGATTGATGTTATATATTTTTTTACATGTTTTCTAGATTTTTCTGAAATACTGTTGAAGAAGTTTGATGAAATAGAGAAACAACAAGCAAGCAAAATCTCTGTTCTTACTAAAGAGCCAATCCTGATAAAACCCAGAAGAAAAGACACTCCTGCATTGCACACATCACCACTTCTCTCAGGTACAGTAAGCAGACTAAAACATTTTAGTTTTCAATCAAAGCAAAGCAAAAGCTACTTTTATTTCTATTATTTATTTATGTATCTTAATACAGAGACACTTACTGATACATGCATGCAAGAACAAAATAATGCGAGAGATGGAGTTGGGAAGGGTAAGACCCTCTGCCAGGTTTTTATTGCTGTTTGAGTCACCCCAGTGACCAGGGCCACAGAGACAGAAAGTGTAGGGAAATCCAACAAAATGGGATCAGTCATCAGAGTAAGAGGTGAGGGAAAATACTCTACTGGGGACCCTTGTTCCTTTGACAACTAATATAAGATAGATATTCACTTTGGTGAGATTTCCTCCAATGTCCTGTGCACTAGTGGAACACAGAGAGCAAAAATGTACCTAATAGGGGGTCTAACCCTTCTCTACCCTATCTAAAACTGGAACAATAAAAGTTTTGGCTTTACATACACTTTAATGTTAACTTGAAATCTGATATGGAGGTTAAGTTTATGGATCTCCTTCTAAAATGTATTTTGTTTTTCATACTAACCCTCTTGCCTTACTTTAGGTCACTAGCCTAGAAAAAGTATGCAAATTAGGATTTCTGACTTTTCTTCTACTTTCTGGCTATGTATACATGTTTTGGGTTGGTGACTCTATAATTATAGCCAGTTGGTCAGCATAACATTCAGGTGATGAGCATTTTCAGATGGAGGCCAGATATGGCAACCACTAGATTTCTCTTTCCACAGGTTTACTTTAAGGCTCAAATAATAAGGGTATTTTTCCTTAAAATATGTCTTAAAATATGAGCTTTAGCCACAAGATGGCATCAGACTTCAATAAACAACAGAATTAAATTTTTTCTGTCTGTTTTATCCCATATATAGAACATAAAGCTTTCAGCTTTAATGCTCATGGTCAGAGCATAGTGTGCAGACTAGAAAAACTTAAACTTTTGCAGTAGCTAAGTTTGGGGAATTTTAACCTCCCCTATCCACAATCTATGGAGATCTTCACTGTGCAGCTGCTGGGGGCTGTACTACTTCTCCAAAACAAAGTATCCAAATTGGGGCATGCATGCATCATGAATGCCCTTTTCATGACTATGGGAAGGCCATTGATTATTGGAGGAGGCAGAGGGCATAATGGGCTCAACAAAGTATATTAGTAAATTAGTATATAACCAGCTAGATAGGTTTATGAATCACAATTCCAGATGTGAGTGAATGTTTACACACTTTGACTCATTATTATTATTATTATACAGGATTTATATAGCGCTAACAATTTGCACAGCGCTTTACAATATAAGGAAGGCATTACAATCACAATACAATTCAAGACAAGATGGTAAGGAGGGCCCTGCCCATGAGGGCATACAATCTAACGGGGAGAGGGAAGTGATGAGGAGGTAGCTGTGTGGGGATGAATTGTTTGGGAACGTGATGGTTGAGCGGTTAGGTTGAGGTGGGATAGGGGTCCCTGAAGAGATGAGTCTTTAGGGAATGCCTAAAGGCAGTCAAGGTGGGCCACAGACGGACAGGTTGGTGTAAAGAGTTCCAGAGGATGGGAGAGACTCTAAAGAAGTCCTGGAGGCGAGCATGGGAGGAGTTGACAAGGGAGCTGGAAAGCAGGAGGTCTTGCGATGAGCCGAGCCGATGGTTAGGGTGATACTTTCAGACCAGGTTTGAAATATAGCCAGGGGCAGAGTTGTGGATGGCTTTGTATGCGATTGTTAATATTTTTTATGTTATCCTTTAGGCGAGTGGAAGCCAGTGCAGGGATTGACAGAGGGGGGTTGCAGACACTGAACGGTTGGTTAGGTGAATGAGTCTGGCAACTGCATTCACGATAGACTGAAGGGGGGATAGCCTGTGTAGTGGAAAGCCAATGAGGAGGGAGTTGCAATAGTCAAGACGAGATATAACAAGTGATTGGATGAGACATTTTGCGGTTTCATTGGTGAGGAAGGGGCGTATTTTGGAGATGTTACGAAGGTGAAGGTGGCAGGATTTGGATAGTGATTGGATGTGGGGAAGAAAGGTGAGATTCAAATCAAGGATGACACCTAGGACCTTGGCATGGGAGGAAGGGTGGATAGTTGTGTTAGCAATCTCAAGGGAAAAGTTGGGGAAAGGTGCACGGGCAGGAGGAAATATCAAGAGCTCAGTTGTTGAACCCATATATGCGGACGCACATTACAGTCATACCCTTACAATTCTCAGTACAGACCTTTCCTCCCTCTCTTCCCCAATACAGTTCCTTCCCCAAATCTCCCCCAATATAGATGTTCCCCCTAGCTACCTAAAGTCTATTCACCTGACCTCAGATACAGCAGCACTACACAGTGTGGGGAAAGTCTTCCACTCAGCTGTGTCATGTAACACTGCACATCACAGCTGAGAAGGATCTTAGGGGAACCTCCCTCGACTCTGTGCTGCCATAGTATCTAAAATCTGAGCAAACTGGCAGCAGCAGTGCAGTGACAAAACTTTATAAAAAGGCAGACGTTTAAGGTGTTAGAATCCAGGGCACCCAGCAAGAGATGTGAAGCACTTCCCCCAGGTGCCTGGCACTAGTGACACCCATGCATTTATTCAATATTCCGTAGTAAAAACGTTCAATTTCCATCTTAATTCTGTAAGACAAATTTTTTTTCTTTTTTTAGACACGTTATTAAAAATATAGTACCGGTTGTAGTTACTGCCAAATGTATCCAAAATACTTCACAAATTGAAATGTAATTTTGATGTACTCGTATATAAGTACAGTTTTTCTCAGGTTGCAATGTTCTATCTTTTGTGTACGCTAAAAGACAATGCAAATTAGCCTTTATGTTAAAGCTCTAAAATAATATAAACTAACATTATAAAACATTAATCAATTTATATGGCTAGAAAACAGGAAATGAGTTTAATGAATACTAATGAGGGTATAACACATATTTGATTACTCCTTTGTTACAGGAATAGTTTCTAAAGTATCTCTTGAGACCTGAGCTTCAAAGACTACCATTGAGTGGTTTATTACTGAAGTAGTAAAAAAATAATAACAATAAATGGCAACTTGGTTGGGTAAACAAAGATACTTACCATGAATATTAACATCATGTACTTAATATTATGTTTGTTCATGGATGATCTGTGACCATCTCCTGTAGCATATCTTTAGTCTCGGACCATCTCCTGCTTGCATGTCTGGAGTCTCTGTTCACTTTCTGTAACATTACCTTCACTGTGTGACTATTTTTTGCCCTTTAGCAATGTCAGGGCCACACTTGCATACTCCTATATTGAGAAAGTTGAGCACCACTGACAAGCCTCCCAAATTCTCAAATCAAATCAAATGTCAGGATGTTGTGACATGAAAGCCTCACTGGTCAATAAGAATGTGCAGGAGGCAGGAAATGAGAGGCAAGCATTGGCACTATTAGGAAGTGTGAACAGTTTGCTGATAGGAAGTGTGAAATCTATGTCAGAATGGCCCCTAATTCGACAGTGGAGTTTGTTTGGCTTCTGCTTGTTTAGTGGAGGCCTTTTTGCTTTCTTTTAGCTCACCTTACCATAACCTGTCTGGGACACTTTTTAAAGAACCATCAGTCCCCTTCCTCCAACAGAGCTCAACATCTAATGTCCTAAATACTTATATAAATGTCCTAAATGTTATATAAAGGGTAGGATTGGTTTTGGGCAAAAGCAATTGTATCTATCAGTATGTTTTGGACTTTGTGAAGAAACCAGAGTGCTAGGAAGGACATACAGATACCATGCAGATAATTTCCTTTGACAAATCTAGCACACAGAAAATACAAATGAACGGTGCTAACCAAATAGCCACTGTTGATGTGCAGTCTTATAATCATTCCACTAGATGCTGCTAAGTTATCACAATGAACTTTCTGGACTTTATATATCCATCATATTCAGGGGCGTATTTACCGCGAGGCAAACTAGGCGTTTGCCTAGGGCGGCACCCTCCGTCGGGGCGGCTGCTCCGCTGTTGCCGCGGTACGCAAACGCCTAGCGCCGCGGTTCAGAGATAATCAACTGGACACCGCCGCAAGCCGCCCTCCTCGGCAGCTTTGCTTGGCAGAAATGCTTTGTCAAATCAAAATACAATGCCTTTTTAAAACATTTTAAGACACGGTTGTATTTGTAACTGGCAGATATAGATTTTCTTCAAGACTCTTAATCATGTAAGATTAATATTAGCTTCACATTTTTTTTTAACAATTACCTGGGTCTGTATTATCCTGTTTAAGTGCAGTTAGATATAGGCACCCACACATAATTATGTATAATGTGTGATCAGGATTCTGAGGCTTTCAAGATAACCTTTGAGGCATTCTATTTTATTTTATTTTTGAGAACCCCTATTCCAACATAGATGATATACTGTACATAAGGCACCAATGATACTATATTTTTACATCATTGTTTACTGTTTTACAAAAATAAATTTGGGTTTATTTGAACAGCGTATACCAGTGGATCTGCTACAATGTGTCCAGGCTAACTAGGCTTACCTTACATTTTAACTATAAATGTTATCATTATTAAAAATGAATTGGGGTAATTACAAATTTAATTCTACATGTTTTCCCTTTTAACAGGCCACTAGAATTATATTCCCTGAGGGACATTTATAAAAACTCGAGCCAACAAAATCTGGAGCAGTTGCCCAGGGCAACCAATAAGCTTCCCTCCTCAGTTTATTCAGTTAAGATTTGAAAATGAAAGGTGGATGCTGATTGGTTGCCATGTACAGCTGCTCCAGATTTTGTCTGCTCCAGTTTTGATAGATTTCCCTCAATATTTTTTAAATTTGACACTACTAAAATTAATGAATGCAAATGTGAAACGTTTACATATAAATGTTGAAAAAAACATAAAAAACATGCTCAGGGGATTTAACAATTAAAACTACATAGAGCTAACTAAGGTTAAATAAACTGCTAAACGAGTGGTTAAAATTAATTTCTACACATTATAGTAATTTATGAATGCAAGCTACAGCAATATCTTTCATTCATAAATGGATGCTGAACAGGACCAAGCTGTCAAACTGACAGCTCAGTCCTGTTGATTACAAAAGATCTCCCTGCCACAGGCTGTGTGACAGCCTTTCTCTCTGCTCTGTTTATACTGATTACGCTGATTACGCAGGGAGAGCTGCAATCTCTCTGTCTGCCTGGCCCTACATCCAACGCTACAAAAAAAGGTTTCGCCCACATGCCACCAGTTGGGCAGCCCTGATCTATACTTACCAGCCCAAATAAGCCACCTGCAATCTATATCCTTAGTGGTGGAACGCTCTATCTTGAACGCCATTAACATTATACATGTTACATGTTCTATCGAGCCTTTGATCTTATTTTCAAAAATATGATAAAAATATATATTTTTTTCTCATAACAGGTGGAAAACTTCTGAAGGAAGATAGTGGAACCATAATTGTGGAGAGTGAAGAAAATGATGGATAATAAGTCAAAAAATATGTCCCTAATTACTTTACAATCTATACAACCACTATTCTATAACACAGGGTTCATTCATAAGGGTTTTTTAAAATGTAAAACAAACAACTGTATTGGGATGATTTGTACATTTTATATCTTATTTGTACACATTTTGTTGTTATAATATATTCATGTGAAATTAATTTTGCAGTATCATTTTTTCAAACCAAACCTTAAGTCTCAAACACATACCTTTTTTTATTGCACTGCTATACAATATCAAACACTCAATGAAATAGCAGTAAATTAGAGTGGATCTAAAGCCAAGAATAAAATGTTATATATTACAATTTACCAGATGCGGTAGCTGCATTAGTTTTCTTTTTTTCAAGCCTTTTTTTTTCTTTTAACCTATGGTATATTGTGTGTTGCCGTGCAGTGCATGGCCAGAAATGCTGCATGCACTTTTTTTTGGTCTGACACAATACAAAAAATGTGTATTAATGTGCAAGAATTGAGCACTTTGCTGAAGGTGAAGCAAGCAGGATGTTTGAGGCTCACTTCACACCTTAGCGTTCTGATGCATTGCGTTGTGGCACATTGTATTGCGTGGTAATGTGTGTTGCATTAAGGCAGTCCAAGCAATGCAGTAAAGGCTAGGTGTACTGCACATTTTAAACACAACTCACAATATACTTTGTGATGCAATGCATGTCCATCAGCCCCTACTGTACATGTGTGTCAGTGTGGCATGCATTACTGCATGTTAACATAATGCACAGGTGTGAAGCAAGCCTAAATGTAGTGGTAATAAGAATACAAGTCAGAAAATTGTAAACAGGAGATGGGTCAAATACAGGAACCAACAAGGCTAGCTAAATCGGGTAATTTGGGAACATGAACCTACAGTGAATTGGTACCAACTAACACAGACTAGCCAGATAACCCAACAGCATTGCTTATGGGAAGGCCCACAAACAAAGAGGATGTAAGGCACATATATGGAAAGGATTGGGGAAAAAACTGCAGGTAGAAGACAGCACAAAAACGCCACAGGACTGACCACCATACTACCCTCTCTTTAAGGTCTGTTCCAAGTGCCTTTAAATACCTGCCAGGAAATTCTAATATTTACCAATATTTAGCACATTATTTTGGGCACTTTAAATCAAAACTTGACAGAAATTAGCAGGATCAGAAGCAGAATGGGAGGAACACATCTATATCACCCAAGACATCACCAAAAATCACCAAATATATCCACACATGGATGTGTTGGGTTGAATTTTAAAAACTCCCAGGAATATAAACAGATCGTCTCCTTTGCCCTCTCAGACTATTCACAATGCATCACTCTCTGTGGCCAGCCACCCAGTCAGGGTGCTCCAACTCAAAAAAGCTACCTCGCTCCAATCACCCTCCCACAGCATACCCCATTTTATACCAACAAATCACCCTCCTGCCCCCTGACCCCACTTTTTTAATATTTTTCCCTTTTCTCTTCTGCTCTCTCTCTCATTTTGCTTCCTTCCCCTTTTCTCTCTGCCCTGATATTTCCTTCCCTTCTTACATCTGCTCCTTCTAACCTTCACTTTAGTGAGCCTGTGGAGCCAAAGGTCTTAGTGGAATAACGGCTGCACAAAAGGGAGCTCTGACTTTGGAGTTCAGAGATTGTGAGGACTCTGAGCACCGTGGAAATGTGGCAGCTGGCAACATTTGCAGGCAGAAGGAGGGAGCCGCACACTCTGACCAGGTGGGGGCGCTGTTTGTCAGATTCCCACTGGTCCCATGCATGCCTCTTTGACAAGGTCTCAGGGCCCTTCACACCTATGTGTTGGGTTAATTGCACAGCTCCATGCAATTAGCGCACATTATCATGCAACACATGCAAAATCACGCAACAGACCTACCATGTGTTACAGTGCAGTAGGTGTGTTGCCATTCATTTAAAAGGCACCTGAACCCACCTCCCGGCCACAATGCGCAACACACAGCAGCACAATACCATGCATTGCAATGGAAAAAAGTAGCCCATGCACTACTTTTTTCCACCACAATGAACGGTATTATGGTACCGTGGGTTGTGTTGGGGGGACATGATTTAGTTGGGCTGTATGGGGTCCCATAATTTCTAAGGGCGGCCCTGTTCATGAACATTAACTTTACTGTGATCAGCCTCTACTCTTTTAGTAAGTCAACCCTTGTGAATTGAAGCACTCAGGGATGTGAAGTCAGGAAGGTACAAGGAGGATGGGGTTTCCTACTTGCACACTTTATTTCAGATATTACTATGAAGCTAGAAGCAGGATCTGGAGACATGAGCAGGAGGGTGACAGTGGAAAAGCATGGCCAGCGTGGGGTCAGATATACCTTGGGGGGCCATGTAATATCAAAACATTGTTTTAAATGATCAAAATACTGTTCACTTTTGGGTTGAGTGTGTGTGCTATAGGTTATTTGGAGTGCCATAATAAGTTGTGGTTTTTCAGATGTTTCAAGTTTTGATATCACATTTTCATATGTGAATTTTGGGATATTCAGTTTGGGGTGGAGTTTATGCGCTTTTTTGATTGATGGCATTTAATTAGGATTTTGTTTTCACTAGTCATAAAGCGACATTAAAGTGCAAGTGAAGCCAAAACAGTTTTGGATAGAGTGTAGAGAGACTAGAACACCTGTCAAGTTTTTATTGCTGTCTGAGTCCTTATTAGGCTTGGTTCATTCCTGCGCTTTGCGGGAATGCGCATCCAACTTGTGTGCATTTTTGCACATTTGTGTACTGCGTTTGCCACGCATCCACATTGATTTAAATGGGTTCATAAACACGGTTAAACAAATGCGGCAAAAAGCTCATGGATTATTTTTCGTGACAGGTGTTCAGCGGTTTCCATTTTTGTGCACATTATAACACGTGCAAACAAGGAGGAGGAATGTGCGTACTTGCAGCCGCATTTGGAGTGCCATTAACTAGTAATGGCAACACAAATGTGTTTCGCATTTGTGCATGTTTTGCAAACAGGGGACAAAACACATATTTTTTGCGCTTTTGATGCACGTTCCTGCAATGCCTAGATGTGAACCGAGCCTTCTGGAAGACTCTTAGGGAAGACTCACCTCCCCTATTGGTCCTGGTGACCGTTATCACTGAAAGTGAAAGAAAGTCCCTCATTTTGGGTTGTCATCAAAACAGGAATAAACAAATGTAAATCTTCATGAATAGGTCTTTAATGGTGCTAAAAACATTTGATGGCTGTTAAAAATAACAAGTTAGAATTGCTGCCAATAATGCCACAAAGTGCCTTTTTATCTTGACGCTTTTTGACCCAAGGGGCTTCTTCAAGAGAAAGACGTTCAGTTTAAACAAAAGGGAGTACACCAATGCTGGAGGTCATGCATCGGAGAGGTAAAGTATTCCATTGGGGGGTCACAGGAGGAGGCTACCTGTGGGTTAACAAGCCGCTGGATCACCAGGGAGATAGACCTATGTATTTCACCAGGGTTGATACTCCAGACGGCGGGTACCTGTAGAAAACTACAGGTGGGACGGATATGAGACGAGTCACCTTGCACAAAGGAGAAAGAGCAGCAGCGACTGGTCTTTATTACAGGAAGCTCCTGAAGAATGAAAAGTTTTAACACAGGATTACTGCACCAAGCCCCTGCATATCACTACTCCTAACCAGAGATGAGCTCAGGTTCTGAACTTGAGCTTCTCCAAACAACAAAGTTTCATGAACACTTCCACCCAATTAGCTGTAATACAAGCATTCTCTGCCCAGCAGCTACATGTAAACAAAGGGGTGGAATGCTTGTGTTGAAGACATTTTCATAACCCATATTAGATAAATATAATTGACCAAAAGGCATGTAGCCATATCAGGCAAATGATGTCTCTTCATCCTGACCCTTTGCTTACTTCAATCTACGGGCAGAGAATTCTCCACCAGCAGCTGATGGCAAGGAAGGAGCTTCCTTCTATTTTCAAGAGTGGTTCAGAGTTCGGAGGAGGTTTGAAATGTGTCTGTGAAGGTTGTCATTCATCCAGGCCATGGTATATCTGTAAAAAATAAGTCAAGGCAACTGGACTTGCTGTATTTTTCTTGAAGACGTTTCACTGGTCATCCAACCAGCTTTCTCAAGGCTTTCTCAAGAAAGCTTTGAGAAAACTGGTTGGGTGACCAGTGAAACGTTTCAAGAAAAATACAGCATGTCCAGTTGCCTTGACTTATTTTTTACAGATATAGCTTTGAAATGTCTTTGGTCCAAACCTGAGCTCACCCCTACCCCAACCTCCTTGTCTTGCATTGTACTGTTGTAACGCGTTATATAAATCCTGAATAATAATAATAACTGGGAGCTCTCAGGCATACAGAGCTTCAACCCTCCTGGAAGTGTCAGAGGTGGAAGAAGAAAAAGGAAACAAAAAACAATTACTGTGACCAGGGAGAACACTGTGGTATAACTAAAGGATATGCAGTGGGGAAAATGTATCAATACTGGAGCAGACAGAATCTGGAGCAGTTGCCCATAGTAACCAGTCAGCTTCTCTTTTCAGCTGGTCTGGCTAAGCTTTGAAAATAAAAGAGAGAAGCTGATCGGTTGCCATAGGCAACTGCTCCAGATTCTGTCTGCTCCAGTTTTGATAACTTCCCCTCAGTGAGTACACTTCGCATACACCCTCCTATCCCTTACAGCCTAGGAAGACGTAATCTTAGCTTCTGTTTGGATTGCAATTGTCACGGTGCTGCACATGTGATCAGCTATGACACCAGTCACTTGAGCACTTGAAAGTTCAGTTGAACTAAGCACACAGGTAACCTTGAGAGTTGACATGCACACCCAGGTGTTTTGTCACTCAAAGCTAGGCGCAACAAAACGCTCAAGAAAAGGAATTCTATCGGCCCCTGTTCATACCTGAGAGCTTTGTTGCCCATTTTGTTGCATGAAGTTTCCCACTGAAAAGTTGCTCATGTAGTTTTTCCAGCGGCAGGCATTTTTCTGCTTGCGTCCAAATGCTCAGGTGTGTGCCCATAAAAATAAATGGGATTCCTTGACTCGTGGACTTTGTTGTGCTTATCTTTGAGCAACAAAATGCCTAGGTGTGAACAGAGCCTAAAAGTAACTGCTTTGGAAGACAGGAAATTGGTGGGTAAAGTTCTTCTTTACCAGACATTCTAAACCTAAAAATTCAGTTGATGGCAGTCAGGGGAATTCAATAT